ATCATTTATATAGAAAAAGTATACATAATTAATTAGTGGATATAGTTTAGCTGTTGCATAGTAACGCTTTGTTTCTGTGGCAGCATGAAGATACATTTCAAGCTCGCTTCGCTTAATTAATGATAAGAGTTCCGGTGGATAGATTATTAGAAACTTTTCTTTAAGGCAAAGGTTACGTCTTTTGCTGGAGCTGTTGTAGGCGGAGCTCGAAGATAGGACGCGCCATAAAATGGAGTAGCTGATATTATTATTCTTAAGAGTCCAGATATGTTTGCTGAGTTCAGTCGAGTTTTTATGTTGTTCGTGGCGGAATGAGGCGATGTGGTTTCTGTATCTTGTTTTGAAGTCGTTTTCTTTTTCACCACCGATCGATGAACTAAAGGACTTTGAAACCGACATGCTTAAGATGATACAATCGACCAAATTCAAACAAGTTAATATCCCTTTCATCAATAGACTTTAAGATGACACCGAAAAGATCAAGAAAGAACCGAAACTGCTCATCGCCGCTGATAAAACATCGAACTTCTATAAACTGGAACCATCAACATACAACGATCTACTAGAACAGAACAYCACAAAGTCCTACAAAAAAGCACAAACTAACACCACACGAGCCATCCACGCAGAAAACAAAAATATCGCAACTAAACTGGGCATAGACGACAGAGTAGACACTACAGCTAATAAAGACGCACTAATAACACTTAAAGACCACAAGCCGAACTTCGCTAATAAACCGGCCTGCCGTCTAATCAATCCTACTAAATCCGAGATAGGCAAAAGAATCCTCGACAGAATCAACAACAAAATCACAACAGCATCGAAATTCAATCAATGGAAAAACACTGCCTCCGTGATCGAGTGGTTCAAATCCATAAAAAAACAAATAACAACAGAGTTTTATTTGCTTTGACATCCTTGAATTCTACCCATCAATCAGTCATGACCTCCTTAACAGAGCGATTGACTTCACCTCAACATACGACATTATCACCAACGACGAAAGAAACATCATAATTCATGCTAAGAAATCAATCCTCATACACAAGCAGCAACAATGGCAGAAGAAAGGTGGCACAACATTTGACGTTACAATGGGCAGCTATGACGGCGCTGAAACATGCGAGTTAGTAGGAAGTTGTCTTCTTTCTCAACTATAGATCATGACAGCGAGAATGATGATTGTCGTTATCAAGACAAATATTACTGGCGATCTACCTGCTGCCAATAAAAYGATATCCGTTTTGCCGATCTTATTGT